TAGAAGATTTTCTCTTTTCTTCAGGGCTATTGTGGATATGCCATAGTGAAGAACGACAGACTTCTTATCCCTTCCAACCCAGACATTGGAGTGCTTCGTTACAAGGACAACTACTACGCCTTTTCAAGCAAGCAGGCAGCAATGGAATTTGCTCAGAATCCAGACACGTAAGTGCAAAATGCATAAGTGACAAACTTTGTTAAGCAGTTCAGAAAAAGCTACTGTCAGTAGGCCTGACAATACTAAGCAACCATTTCGTAATTGTAATGCTTAATTTCTTTCATACTACTAAAATGGAGAACCAAACAGATCTCCTGAAACCTGGAAGATTATTCTCTGAACAAAATGTATTTTAAAAAATGAAAAGAGTATAAGCATATAGGACTAGTTTGGAAATAACTAGTTTAGCAAATATTTTACATCAGATCCTGTTTACGCATATTTTTCCATTACAGTCTAAATATAGCATTTAATTTATCTTTTGATGTATATTGGTGCCTGCACATAGGTAAAGGGGTATCAATTCTGATGAGCTTTTATAAGACATGTTCAAATATGATAGGACAAATCAATGACAATAGCCAAAATGCTACACCTGATGTTATTGTTTCTGGTTAAGTTACTTTTGACCTGGTAAAATAGATTGAATTCAAAAGTCTTGAGGGATGAGATATTTCTTCAAGGGGGATTGTTTGGAAATTTTAATTCAGGGAGATTGTTTGAGTTTGATGTGTTGGTGAATAGTAAGAATTTGAATTTGTTAAACGAATGGAATATTTTAAACAAAACAGTGAATACACATGTGGCTACATGCCTTTTAAAATCTCCAGACTGTATCTGAACTTGTAATAAAGCTTTTATTTATGTAGAATTGTGAACTATATAATATTTTTTATTATACAAAATTCAGGTAGGAGAGAAATGTTTAACATCACAAATATTACTTTACTCTATGGACAAGCATTTGAAAAAGGGATTCTCTAAGACAATGTCAAAAAAAATTCATTATTAACATCAACAAAACATATTTACTGTTTTCTTCAACATCTGTAACTCTGGTAATATTTAAACAAAACCAAAGAAAAAAAAGGGCATTTAGGGCCTGCATCTCAGACAAAGATAATCATTTGCTCAGAATATAAAGTTTTCTATTCCAGCCACGTTAGCTTCTGATGCCTATCTGTGCTTGTTTGCAAGTATAAATATCAGTATTATTGTTTTTGTTGGGGTGACGATTATCTGTAATACAATTAGACGTTAGAGAGTAGAATAATGAACAATAATTTGCAATTCAGCAAACCATTTCTACCTGAAGAATTTACATAACCTTTTTTGCCTAATACTGGAAACAATTAAACTAAAGCAGCCACTGTGGTACCTCTTCTCATTTTTAAATGCCATTTTCTTTTTCTACATATTTCGCTAAAAGCAATTGTTTGTGGGTTGTTATCAAAAAAACTTTTTGGGGTACCATCTACAAATTTTTATACCTACCAACCATCTCTTTATTGATATCCAGACTGAAATGTATTCTATTTAGTTACATTTTTAAGACATGTTATTTTAACCTGGTTAAATACAAGTGTATTGGCAATGTGCATTCCTAGCACTTGTTTCCTTTTCATGACAATTTCATACTTGAAAAGATGTATCATGTCTTTGAAACACAATTTCAATGTGTTAACTTTAAAGAAAAATAGAAAAAATCAGGAAGGTTGAAGACAACAACGAAAAGCAAAAAAACACTCTTTCAATTTCTGCATAGTAGTTGCATCTTATCACTCATTTGCATTAAAACCTCACTATGGTTAAATATTTCTAAGGTTATTTCATATTATATTCTGTCACAAAGTAGTTTAACACTCAAAAGTATCATTTCTTTGAAAATAAAAACCTGTCTGTTGTTAACTAATTAATGAATTTATTTATTTATTAAGATTTTTTCATTCAAATTTACATTTCATATTTTTAAAACAATTTTTTTTATATTTTTAGTTTGCTAAAGGAAGCTACAAAATGTTCACTTTAATATCATTATACTTTCCTGTACAGAAGTGTATTCCATGAATTCTTGCTTAAGTTTTTTCTTTATCAATTTATCTGAATGCTACCATCAAGTCTGAAAGCAGAACCACTGTTTCCGTACTTGTGTTAAAAAAGTGTTAAAACTTATCAAATATATAAAGATCGATTTAGTTTATTGATGTATGCATGAAACATTTTAGTCATTATCAAGTGAAATATCATTATCATTATCAATAGAAATGAAACAGCCACTGACTTGGCTTGGATAGTACATATCTTTAAGGATATCAAATGGACAGTGGCTCCCTTTTACTGATTTTTGGAGCACAGAATATCAGATGGAAAAAATGCCCTTTAAATGACTTTTGGAAAACAAAGAACATGTTTCTGAATCTATAGCTAGTTGCTAAATGACATTATTGCTGATGAATAGAAGGCAGACGGCATGAGGTCAATATCATATCTGCAGTTTAGGGTTAGTTTAGCAGACAAATGTGTTTTTATGTTTTGCCATTAAAATGATGGAGTATGCCATAAAGGTCAAGTAAAAAATTTAACTGCAAGATCTTTTTGCTTTTGACATGTTTCTGCAAGATATTCAGCCTTTCTACTTGAACTCCAATGGAAATGGAATTCTAAGATTTTGAAATAACCTTGAACTGATAAGTTTTAGTGCTGTTTCCATTGTCATCAGGGTTTTTCTATGATTTTCTTAAAATCATTTTTTCATAAGAGCAGATAAGAAGCCAAAAAGATAATTATCAAAAAAAAAAAAAAACTTGTTCTGAACATTTAGGCAACCAAAGCATTAAATCTACTTATTTGAATAATATATTTAATTATTAGGAAAGTAATTTTCTTTCTATCAAAACTTATATGTTTTAAATTCCTTTAGTTGCATATATATACTACTTTCTACTGCACTTGCATATAGTTTTGAATTTTTTTACTTTTGTTTGCAGATACATAAGGCTAGTAGCAGAGGCAGCTAAGAGAAGCCCGGAGTTGATTCAGCTCTTAGAACTGCACACACAGTTTGCCTCCATCACTCCATATGCCCAGGTAAGATTTTGTAAATTATGTCCAACAAGTTTTAAAAAAAATCAAAAAAAGATTGTTATGACTTTTGAAGTTAATATCACTCTCACTCCATGCATATATTTCAAGTTAGATAAAAATGTGCATGACTTGTGAATCAGTTATTTGACCTGGTTGAAAGTCCAAGACCGGAAAGGACAAAGACGTACAGAGTTGGTGTCTGGGGAATAATTCCTAACATTGATCAGGTTTACTTTATTTTTTTTTTTCTCTTTCAATCACTGAACATCTTAATAGGCTGTGTTTTCAAACCTTACACAGTTTGCTTTTCTGAAGTCAAAATCTTTGGAATCTGGAAAAGAGTAGTTGTCATTCCCCTTCAAAAAAGAATGACAGTATTTAAACAAATGTGTTAATTGGGTAAGATTAATATTTCCCCATAATTACATGTCCCATTACTTTTGCCAGATCAATAGAGCCATCTTTGAAATGGTAATCAGTATAATTTACTAAAGTAATTCTTTTCCCATATAACTGGAGAACTGAAAAAGAACAGAAAGAGATTCCGAAATGGAATTTTGATCAAAAGGCAAAGGTTAGCACTTCAATATATCAAGAAAAGAAAGCCTATTGGGACAAAAAACGGTGCCTGGTTTCTGTCCTCAAAATGACCAATTTTACCACCTCCCCCTTGGCTGACCTTAGTGAGGGGGGGCTAGGCATTGTGGTGTCTGCAATCCCTTCCCTCATCTCCCTGGCTCTAAGATTTGTTCTGACACCATTAGACAATATGAGCAACTAATGATGTGGAACTAATCTCCTTTATGTCAAAGAAAATTAGGATGCTCATTCTTTCTACATTTTTAGCATGAAATATGTGCAAGATGATCTGAAATTGACAAAAATCTCGCGATTTTTCTTATCTGCTAAATGAAAATTCTCTCGGCTGATTAGATGGTTATGCAGCTCACTAATTTGCTGCAGTCTCTGGTGGGTCTTTAGGATCCTTCCCTCTGAGGAGGTCAGCACAACTGGTTTATGTCATCTTTAAGATTCCATGATAACTTAATTTATGAGCAGAGAATAGACATAGGCTGCTGAACACAGTGTACATGCAGTTATCCTGTGGAAAAAAATGACAAAAACCGACTACTTCATCAGGCTCTCTGTTGGGAGATATAGGTTGGGAAATTTGCTGAGTTTTAATCCTGTTTTTTCTTTTAACTGACTGCTTAAAGGACTGTGTTTTTTGAAAAGTGTGATTGAAATTATGAAAATGACCACCTCATCACCATACACAGCGTTTGATTTCACTAAAAGGAGTGATATTTTACTGTTTAGAAAGAAAAAAGAAATCACATTTTTCTTCTTAAAATATCCTTATATCATGGGCATGATAAGATACAGTTTTCTCGCAGGAAGATAGGGAGTTATTTTTGAAGCCCTTTATAAAGCTGTACACTATGATAAGCATTTTTTTCTTTTTGGTAACTTCTTCAATTTTTCTGACTCTTATATGTTGAAAATTATTTACTTTAATTATTTTGTCCTAATGGACAAAAGTGTTGTTTGTTACTCTGAAAAACAAATTGAAAGAGTAACAATGTTGGTTGATAGTGCGTGGATAATAAATATTTAATAAAAATTATATTCTCCACAAAATCACAGAAGATTTTTCAAAAAAGCATTTCAGCTGATGAATACAGGAAAATCATGAAATGTTGGTAGTCTTTAAAGTTGAGATGAAGTCTGTCTTACACAGCTCCAGGTTGATACATTTAAATAGATTAACAACATTTAACAGTATATTTTTATGGAGTGCCATTTAAAAAAATATAGATTGTCTTTAAATTATATTGTAGCACTTCATTTGTGAAGATAATAAAACTCTTACTCATAAGCAGGCAATGATAGAATAATAGTGAGATGCTTATTGAAGTGTAATCATATGTGATATCTGACATTTTGATTCCAGGGCAAAGAACCTGGCTCTATGATAGAGAAGCCTATCACAAAGTGTGACAGTGGCACCCAGACTGACACCCATATCCTAGAACCCAATATTGCCAAGTCATATGAGTGGAATGAATGGGAACTCAGGAGGAAGGCCATCAAACTGGTAAGTCACTGAGTCCACTAAGGGGTGAATAGTTTTCATTGACCTCTGAAACTCATTGTTACAAAGAATAACCAGTCAACCATGCAAATATTAATGCCCATGTTCATATCAGGTTTAACTTAATCCAGAGGAAGACCAACTGATGTCACCAGGACACCAGATGATGTGAGGGCCCAAATTTTGACTTATAAATCCCCCATGCTAAGCAGTCTGGTCATTTGGAGATGGGAAGGTTAATAGCTGTCAGGTTTCCATTCAAAATGGGGCTTTTTTGGGGGGGTATGGTCTTAGTCCTCCCTCTGAATATGATGAGTTCACCAAAGTCAGGTAATCAGACCTCTGTATTGTCCCACATCATCATTGTAATTGAGGGACATGACATGTTAATAGAATGGGCTTTGTCAGGTAAGCTAATTTCAGTCAGCTGGCTTGTAAGGATAACCCAATGTGAAGTGAAACACGGTTTTAGTTTTTGTATGAACTTGCTTGAGACAGACAGAACAGTTCCGTATGTGGAGAGTTATGGTGTGACAGAATCCTGATGAAGACAACAGATGTGTTGTGTGTGTGCACATTTTATCTTTGCATTTTTTAATCTATTTATTTACAATTTCATTTATCAAATTAATATATTTTAAATCAATGGATTTATTTATGACTTGACTATTTATTTAAAAAAGTATACTTGAATGTATTCTTTCTGTACATTTTCAGGCCAATTTGAGGAATAAGGTCACCCATTCCATACAGACCAACTTGAGCAACTTCAAGAGGGACAATGTCACGCAAGTCTACCTGCCAAAGTAATTTTTTTTTTTCTCAATATTCCTCTGTATTTTTTCTTTTAATTTCTGTTCTTTCTGTTTTAACAGAAACCAACCTTTTTCACGTCATTTATGTCATTTGTTAATCATTTGTACTTTAAAAAAATCACAATCACATTTTTGACTCAAAGTTTGAACTGAATTAAATATGTAGGACACAAGGCATGAGACATTTAGATATCTTATGACTAGTTCAGTCTTTCGATCATCAGTGCACAAGCTAGCTAATGGACCGTTAGATGGGGACTGTACTCCTATTCTGAAATTGTTGAGCTGTTGTAAAAAAGAATTTTCTTATCCCTCATTTCAGAGATCAAGTCACACAGACGAAGAGAGACGGTTACACCAATGTTCCCAGACCACAGGTTTTCCTTGCTGGACTCCGTGGCGGTGGGATGAGCGTCCCCACTGATATGACGAAGGTTGACCTGACCATTGATGTGGACCAGACATAAGATGTGCACTCCACTCTGGAGGCACCATTTAAAAATTCAGAACAATTTTCAACTGACAATTAACAAAGCAAATGAATAGTCCATCTCCGTCCTAGAATAATGCTATATATGTCATAATTTTATTACAGTATCTATAAGTTACAAAATACGTATAAGGCAGATTTTTTCCAAGCTTCTCCCAGGATCGTCATCTGCTGAGATTTAAAAAGGTTGATACCTGACATGGCTAATGTTTTGATCTTACAAAAATTGCATCGTTAGATACGCCTTCTCTAAAAAAAAGAAATTGTTCTATTTACATCTGAAAGCACATACATATATAACGAGACATGTACATAGACTGTGAACATTTATCAATGTGTACTTTTTAATAAAAAAAATGTCCGATTCAGCTCAGTATAATAACAAATCTTCATTTCCGTGGCAATTTTACGATTAGGAAATTTTCAATAATTGCTTGGAATTTTTACATATTTCTATAATCGAACTTGTGTAATGCATTCCGCGGAGGCTTGCGGTTGCGTCTTGTCGGCTCTTTGGGATGCTATAACGATTGTTGTTTTGTTTGTTTTAGTGACTATCAATTTTCTCTGCTATTTGCCTGGAAACGAACATCCCCACACGTGTTATACAAACCGGAGAGGATGAACTTATTTATTGAAGGGTGATGAGTTGGGCAAATATTCCGAGAGTTTCATTCTTGGTGCCGTACGTTGGACAAAAAAAAAATGACGTCCCGGCGGTACTAAGCACAGAAATGATCCCTATTATAATAATGAAACATGTTTATTTTATTCTATGCGCTTTAATCCCTATATTTTTATTTTATTAGTAATCCTTTTTAACTTATGTTGCCTAATAATATCAATAGTAAAATAATTAAAATGTAGATATATCTTTACTCTATATAATTCGTTTCTATGGCAACACTTCAAGTCTTGCGTGATGCGCCAGCATGACCCCTTCAGAAATATTAACTTAAGACTCCTACTAGAGCATATTTGTCTTCTTAGTTCCAGGACCATTTCATTTTGTGTAATATGTACATTACTTTTTAATATCACTTTTTTAAATTGCTGTCTGTATTGAAAGGTGCTATGATATAAAGCGTAGAAATAATGGGGCAAGTCAGAATTATACAAATATTGCACAAAATGTGCGCGTCACTGACGTGTTTCAAATGTTCACTTTTTTTGTAGAGTGACCGTATAACGTGTGATTCAAAAATATTAAGAGAAAGCAAACTAGAAGAAATGACTAGGTTTGAAAACCGAATAAAAATTAACACGCATTTTCTCTCGCCAAGTTTGCTCTGATAACAGTGGACGAAAAGATAACTTGTAAAGCCGACCGTACTTCGTCACATGTAGAATTTTTGTCTTTCTGTTGAAATCAGAGCAGATTTTAGAATGATTTTCAATATTAGTATAGGCCACACGCAGCACAAGACCTACCTGTGCCATTGCGGCTAAATTGTAATTTTTTTAAAACCACATCTGAATTATATCAGGAATTGTAATTACCATTTGTACAATTAGGGCGCAAACGCTGTCGGCCATCTCTGAGCTAATATTTTCGTTTCTATCATGACAAGATTAACATGTACTTAAACCTGCCTTTCCCTCAGCAGTTTTCATCAGAGTAACAATACAGGCATAAAAACATTTTTGTATGTATGGGCAAATAACGTTAAATTTAGTAGTAGACGAAATGTCGCTATGTAACGAACAAAGAAACGGAAAAATGACCCAAGGCATCTTGAAAGACAGGAAAGAGAGGTGAAAACAGAAACGACGATCCACATAATCTTTCTAAAAAGTTCACGAATTAATAGATATGGTTCGTTCATTAAGGTCAATTGAAATCGGAAGTATTTATCACTGCAAGTACTACAAGAATACTAGCGACTTCAAGCCACTGCGTCAAACGATGCCATCTAGCAACCTGCGTACCGTCGCGTACACGTGATAGTAGAATTTGTAACGATGCGCGGCGCAAAAAAAACGCAGAACGCACTTTCTTCTTGCCAAGTCCAGCTTACTAACTTAATTAGCGTGATTACTCCTGCCGGTAATGTAATTGTTTGAGAATTTTGAAGTAGACCTGGCTAACGCACTTGGCAAATTACTCTCGCAATTCTAAGCACTATCGATCAGAGGAAGCCAAGGCCTCCGTTCAAGCCTAAAGATTCCGAGGGTGAACTGAGAGAGAGGGGTTGACCAAAGTCAGGAAGAACGCACTTTACACATATAAGTATGCAACTACCAAAATGGAGGCGATATAGAAACAAAGCGTAGCACAAGAGCCCGAGGAAATTCTCAGTATTTCCCTAATCTAATAAAATAATAATCTCGATTCCATATATGGGTTCTAATTAAGGACATATTAAGATAATAGTGAAGGTGATGACCATACCACTCACATAAATTCATTGTTGAGAAGTAAACGACGCTTAGGTCCAGTGGACCGAGCACGATCCAAACCGCCGTGTGATTGAACAATATTTTTGTACTATAAAAATTGAGCTGGGCCCTTGCATTCTCTGTATGAATGTTGTCGTGTCAAGCGTCGGGTTGAAATTTGTACTAAAAAGCTATACTTACTGTTGAATATTTGAATTCAGTAATATTTATGATCAGCTGTATTTTTGAGGAAGGCCACAGTTGAACACTTGTACATAATACGGTCTTTTACTTTTTCTTGTGCGTACATACTGTTCTCAAAATTCTCCATTCTCTGCTCTAAAAGCGAAGAGATTATGAAAATGTTACGTAATAAAAATAAACATTTTTTAACCTTCGAAGAACTTATCACTAGATTAAAATAGAATACAGCAGGCGCGCCAAGGACTCTATAAATCAGGCTAAATATATTCAAAGTAGAAATGTAGAAAATTATATAATTTCATGTAGTAGAGTGTCGAGGAACCTTACTCAGAACTCATAAATCAGCGTATAACGCAACATGCCATAGTAATGTAGGAACAACATTCCGTGACATAATTACCAGCTAGCTTAACAAAGCATTCTAGTATGATGGGCTGTAATCCAATTTTTTCTTTTTTTTTTAAGATTTGAAGATTTCATTGACAAAAATGCGTTTATTTAACTACGCGGTGTTTCACAGAAAAAAATTGGTGCAAAAGAAAAAATATACATGACGTAATGACCACCTGGTAATGAAAGAATGAAAATTAAACAGATAAAGAAGTGTTTCCTACTTACCCCAACTTTCTGAACGATGCTTTTGTTTCTGAAATATATCGATACATCCCCTTGGCATTGCCATAAATAATGGCAGACGATCGTTCAAATTTAACGAAAACGCGTATTTCCTACAAGTATATTTTAGATATCTGTTACATCTGTTACATCTAACAATCCAAACAATCGGCTGAAATCGTCTAACTACTCACTCCTATGTGTTCTTGGCCAACAATACACCTTCTCCCAACCTAACCCGGGGTTTTCAAGAGAATATGAGCACCAAGCCAATTAAAGAGTAATTCACAGTAGTTAGAATTGCATTTTCCAGAAGGCAAAACTATTCACAATACATAATAACACATATCCCCGAGCTGAAAATTACTGATAAAGCTTCATAGCTGACGGGAATAAAATATTCTCGATGGGCGCAAATTAACAAAATTAAATGAATTAATTGATTATCACACTAAAGAATTAAACTAAATGAGCCTCGTTGAAACGTCTAGCAGACCGTGACTTCCCTGGGCAACAAGACGGAGAGTAAAACATTCAGCTTATCAAACGTTCTTGTAACAAAGAGGCATCATGGAAGGTTTTTTATTTTCACTCGGCAGGAATGAAAGACAGAGAAAAGGCCGTGAACTTAAGATACATAAGGCGATAAATAGGTAAATATTATAATAGGAAAATGGGACTTTATATTCTTTTATATTTTCTCTTTTTTTTTCAGACTAAAATGTTATGTAAATCACTGGAAGGAATTCGTCTCTCATTAGACAAAGATGGGGCTACGGCACCTTGAGAAATTCTGTCTTTCTTTAACAAATAGTATATGTTGCCAGTGCACTATTCATCCGTACAATAATATTCGCACGTACTTTGACGTGCGTTATTTCTCTCTCTCTCTCTCTCTCTCTCTCTCTCTCTCTCTCTCTCTCTCTCTCGCAACAATTTGATATAAAACTAACAGAAAAATATCAAGAAGCCCACCCACCGTCTTTAATGATAATGCACCTCGAATGAGAATGATTAACATTTAAGTTTTTAAAAAGACATTGCCTTTTATTGATTAGACGTGCCGGGAACTATGGAGGTATTTTGGACACTAAAAACAAAATGATATCAGACAAAAGTAGAATATTTAATTCAACTTTATCCCTTCAGACTCATCCGTTTGTTCACGCCGTCGTCAATATTAGCCCAATGATCCAGTTAGCTCCAAAACATTTTAGATTCCGTTGACCCATCGTGTTCATTTTAATAAATAAAATTCTGCCTCTCGATCTTCGATCTTTCTCTTGTAATTCGCAGTATCAGTCGTTCCCTCCCCGGCACTTATTGCCAACGATGTGGTGAATTATCGGCCGGATTATCGCAAGGCCTGTGCCAGAAAATTAGATTTCAAACATATTTGCTTCGCATTCCACTGTAATTTTTTCCTGCTTTTATTTTCATTTCATATGTGCGGCAACTCTTGAGACTTAAGTCGAGGTTAAATCAACTTATTCATCGATCTTTTTACAGCGATGGAACGATGTCATAAAAGCCACGAAAAATTGAACCCGGGGCGAGACCGTTGCTATGAACAAGGGCGCTGAGCAACGGCGAGTGAAAGGTTGAAAAAACAATCACCGTGGAACTGGGGACTCATCCGTTACTTTTTCATTTATCAAAATCCAAAGACTTGTCAATTTTTTTCCTTTTGACTTTTTGCTTCTCAGGTTCAAACTGCGAAAAGAAATTACGCCTCAGTGCTCTCCGAGGAACTCTCACCAACCGGAGGTGGGGCTTGTATCATAATCGCATCAGAAGCAAAGTCGAAAACCAATTCACGAAGGTCGTCGATTAATTAATTGAATTCAAGAAGGAGTTGATCCTGTGTGTCTTAAGATCATTTCCATTTGAGCCTTTGACCGCACGTTCCTTTTTTATTTCGTAAAAGTTCACCCTGTAACATAAGTACGGACAAAATATTTACCCGATACACATGCCCTTTGAGTCCACAGAGATTCTGTAGTCGGTAACAAGATGCGACCGTAATAAGAGAACAATGAGAAGTTGAGATGATTCAAATGAAGAAAATAGACAAATGAAAGTGACACAATGAAAGATATATAGACAACGAGGCATATACCCGTCAGATGCTTAAATAAAATATTCTATGTGTGTTTCAAAGTCTGCGAATACCACATACGTTTTCACTCAAATGTGCACTGTGTCTATGATAATAAAT